ATAGAAGCACATGTGACTAGGACCATATCCCCGTCCATAGTTACGGAAAGTAATCTTCCTCTCTGGTGGGTAGAATTTGAGAGTCTGATGTACTTTGCATGTACTTTCATGACTCTGCATGCTATCTGCTGGGAGTGATATCAAACAACAATGACAGAAGCTGTGATGACTCGGGATGCGATCACCATGTCCTCGTATATTACGTGCATATTGGTTAAAATCCTTAATTAATACTAAATGTTGAGCTTCCAACATCAGCAATGGTATGACATCCGTATATCCTCCTCTTCCCTTCCTAGCCAGTGTAATGTAGTGTCGTTGTTGTCGTCTAGCATTTTCATCTCTTTCTAGCGAATAGATGAATATACTGACTTTATTCATTTTCTCTACCTTGTGAATATCATCAAACGTCACTGCAGAATTGACATCTGCTGGCCATTTCATGTGTCTGAGACACCAACTAGCATTCACAGATCTAGCGCGAATATTATCTAGGTGCATTCCATTAGCTAAACATTTATAAGCAGCAACACACTGCATAAGGCAAATATCTGCCTCTCCCTCTGGATTGAAAACCAATTTTTTCCCACGCAAGCCTTCAGGATAGTCTACATGCGAGCCTAATCTTATCGGATGTTCAATCTGACCACAGTTGATGTAAAACCCGGTGAGCCGCTCAACCAAGACATTGGACCCCTCCCTCGCTTCCAGATACTGGGATATTTTCTCTGTCAATTCGTCAGCCCAAAAATCAATAAGAGTTTCTACTTCCTCTAGAGTAATTCTTTGTCCCTCACCCCGTATGGGAAAGCCGTCGTTATTTATAGGATCCAATAGATTATCCTCCCTGTCTTGTTGTACATTTAAATTCCGCACAATTAGAGTGACGTCTGGGTAAATTAGGAGGAATGGGTGTCGTGGAGAGAAGAGGGCGCGTATCTCATTAATGAAAAAATCCCTGTATGTTCGCAGATAGAGTCCTGGTGAGGTGTTAACATGTTCTGGTATGGAGAATGAAAGCCGGACATAGCTGCCGTTATAGTTATCAATTCGATCCAGAAGCTGAGGTTGAATTTCTAGGGCAGGTGGAGGAGAGGGGGAAAGAGGTGGAGGGGGTGAAGGGATGGGGCTGGGAGGGGTGGGGGGTGGTGATAACCCTCCCCCTCCGAGATGAATGGGTGAGACCGCTGGCTCAGCTACTACGCCAGACGGTGCTAATAAGTCAGAATTGACAGACGCTGGCGGGTCAAGGTCGCGGTCTGCTGAGCTGTCGTCTGAGTCACTGTCTGAGATGAAAATGGTACGATTCTCACCACTGCTGCTGTTGTTGCTGCTGATGCTGCTGCTGTTGCTGTCATAGCTGTCGCTGATTGATTGGGGTATGGGGCTGGGGGAGGAACGGGGGGTTGAGTGAGGGTGTGAACGAGACCTCCTCCCCTCCCTGTGAGAGCCGGAAGTGGCCACTGCCCGCCCTGCTGTGTCACTCTCACTGCCACTGCTGCTGCTGCTGCTGCAGCTGTCGCTGGATGCCAAATCTATGCACAGCGGTGTGTCGTCTGTAAAAAAAGAAAACATATTATCTCTAGAAAGAATGAAAGCGTATATATATATATATATATGTCGTACCTAGTAGCCAGAACTCACTTTTTGGCCTACTATTCAAGGCCCGATTTGCCTAATAAGCCAAGTTTTCATGAATTAATTGTTTTTCGACTACCTAACCAACCTAACCTAACCTAACCTAACTTTTTCGGCTACCTAACCAAACCTAACCTATAAAGATAGGTTAGGTTCGGTTAGGTAGGGTTGGTTAGGTTCGGTCATATATCTACGTTAATTTTAACTCCAATAAAAAAAAATTGACCTCATACATAATGAAATGGGTAGCTTTATCATTTCATAAGAAAAAAATTAGAAAAAATATATTAATTCAGGAAAACTTGGCTTATTAGGCATATCGGGCCTTGAATAGTAGGCCAAAAAGTGAGTTCTGGCTACTAGGTACGACATATATATATATATATATATATATATATATATATATATATATATATATATATATATATATATATATATGTGGGGATTAATATGTTTAGGAAATAGACTGAAATCAGACAGTAATAATAACTTACTTATGGCCTGGTGAAGGGGTTGAGCAGGTGAGTGGGTATGAATTCGTAACATTGTGTTAACAGGGAGCGATACGGACTCGTAGCCCTCCATCTGGCGGCGTGGCTGACCTTGATGAAGGGGTGTGGGGTGGCCGCGAGTGAGATGTGCACTCCTTAGCTCAGTGTGTGAGGAATGGGGTATAGGCTCGATGACGTCGATCTGTTCCCTCCGTCGATTGAGGTATGGATTATAACCTGAAATGGAACAAATGATATTCAGCATGGGTGAATGGGGAAAAAAATATGTTTATTATTATGCATGTGTGTTCACCTGCAACGGGATGAAATACAGATACGAGAAGTGTATTTTATATGCTACCTACGTTTATGTGAAGTTTCATTCCGGCGATGACCTCCTCGCGGGGCGGGTGAGCAATAAGGACACTTCACGGTTTTGTAAACTGAAATTGGAAAGAACATATTTAACTGTGTGGAATGTAATAGCCCGAATGAGAAAACATTCTCACACTATAGTAGTTTACACGTGATATTTCACCTGTGGATGTCATAAAATGAACTGTGGAATATTAAATATGAATAACACTCACGGTTATCACAGAAAATCTGCTGACATCGCTTGCATTTGATGTCGTAATGTCCTAGGGGCGGTTTTTCACAGCTAGCGCATTGCAGTCGACACACTTGATTCGGTGATGGAATATAAAACACTCCGCATTTCATGCATGCTGTAGAGCTTCGCCTTTCCATGACATGGAGCTGTATGACGCGTGTGTAGCGGATGAAGTCTCGCAGGGAACTGGCGGGGTGTTTGTGTGTGAGGGGAGTGAAACGACCTGGGTCAAATGAGAAGTGATTGATGGGTGACAGGTGAGGGTCTGTCTGTCGGCAGGAGTAAGTACCTCGCGCCTCCTTACCGGAATCCACAGTGTATGGGGACCCGCCGTGGGACGAACATCAACACTCTGAAGACAACGAAAACCCCCGCGACATTGAAAAACGCTTTAGGTAATGGTACACTCCCCTCCTGCAGAAGACTTTGCCCTCATCCACACACACACACACACACACACACACACACACACACACACACACACACACACACACACACACACACACACACACACACACACACACACTTAGCTCTTCCTGTAGGGGACGTTAATGGATTGTCTAACCACATAATGGCCCGCTGCAGTCTCACAACGAGAGTGACTTCTCTCTTTCTTGACCCGAGCACAGAAAAAGCAGTCAGGCTCCAACCTGCGACCAGTACGCTTACCCCGTCGCGACATTGAAAAACGCTTTAGGTAATGGTACACTCCCCTCCTGCAGGAGACTTTGCCCTCATCCTCACACACACACACTTAGCTCTTCCTGTAGGGGAGTCAATGGGTTTGTCTAACCACATAATGGCCCAGAGCACTCTCTCCAGACGAAGGGGAAACTCCATCCAGCTCCCAAAACAACGTAACAGACCGTGCTGCCTTCTCCTCTCATCTACACACTAACTCACGATCAACTCTTTTACTCCTTCCTCCATCTTCCTTCTATTTTCTTACTCTATCACTTACTCTACCACTTACTCTCATCTTTCCTGACCACTTACCTTAACCCCTGAGGACTGGAGCGACGCGCTCCAATTACCTCCGACACGCGCCATAACTTCCGGGAAATTCCCAAACCCCTGTGACTAGAGCGACGCGCGCCACCTGTCAGCTGCCCAACATGACCTCCCCTCTTTCCTGTCCACATACCCAAACACTACACCCTCACACGCGTCCGAAACGCGCCAAAACTTCCGGGAAATTCCCCCAAAAGCCTGTGTGACTAGACACACGCGCGCCACCTGTCAGGTGAGAGCGTCCGAAACGCGCCAAAACTTCCGGGAAATTCCCCCAAAACCCTGTGTGACTAGAGCGACGCGCGCCACCTGTCGGCTGGCACTCAAGAGTGCCACCTGGCAGCTGGCGCGCGCGGTTCTAGTCACACTTTACCCTACTCTATGTCACTCCGAATTCTTGGTCGTTCTAGAGAATGCAAATTAGTACTACTTAGTCAATCTTTTTTCATATGACAAGTTTCTAATTTGCAGGATTAACTTTGTTATCCTACGCTGGGCGTGTTCTAGTGAATTTATATCAGAAAACGTATATTTTAACTTGTTAAAAATATTTTGATTCATATTCATAAACAGTCTACTCATGCACATGTATAAACATTCATGCCTCGTATTGTCAGTTTAACTTTATTCTAATGTTCTTAGCAATTTGAATATTTATCGGCATCGAGAAATAACCAAATAAACAAGTTCCATCATCCAGCAACATCAGTCACCTGAGATAGCTGCTACATAACCCCCCGGTGGCCACAACGGGTTAGCTCATTACTCATTTAGCTCACAGACTACAAGGTTGGTCACAAGCAGTACCACCACTGCAGTCACTCTCTCCATCACCTGTGTTCCCTTACCAACACCACTCCCAACCACCAATCACCAGGTGTATTCAACAACAACCACCACATCGACAAACTTCACCAGCCCTCTTCCAGATATTTTCTGAAACACTAGCACGTGTCGGAAAGACGTTTTATAAAGTGGTCAAGTAACTATATATTCTCGTGTTTTCCATCATGAGCCAACAGTCTAAGATGGACTTGGATATTACGAATTGCAGCCGTGGGCTGTGGCTGCTCAAGGTACCTAAATATTTGGGGGACAAATGGGCAGACTGTGCTGGTCATGACGTTGGAAAGCTTAAGATTACCAAGGTGCCTGGTAAACCTCCGACCTTTAAATCTAGTGAACACACCTTGAAGGACGGGAAAATTCCTCGGGAGCACTAGGTAATTTCTCATAGTTTAAAAGAAATGACACTCGGAGTTCTTTCTGAACCAGATCTCGGCAGCAGCAGCTCGGATGCTGCAGTTTCCGAGACACAGCAATTGTCCTTTGAGGGACAAGTCATCCACAAACTAGAATGTCAGCCTGTAGTGGACGACTACTATATCAATCAGAAAAGGGAAGCTGTGAAGAAAGCTGCCCAGTCTCTTCATACAGTAAAGCTTATTGACATACCCCTCAACGGCTATAAGCCTATTTCACACCATAAACATAATGTTCATTTAGAGCAGAAGAAGAAGGCAGGAGGCAAGACGATTCTTGATGATAAAGATAAGGTCATGGAGTTGTTGTTTGCTGCATTTGAAAAGCATCAGTATTACAATATTAAGGATCTCCACAAGATTACCCAACAACCAATCACATATCTAAAGGAGATCCTGAAAGACCTATGTAACTATAATGTTAAGAATCCTCACAAGAATATGTGGGAACTCAAGCCCGAGTACCGTCATTACAAGCTTGCCGAAAAGGCTGTGGAAAATTCAGTGTATGATTAGGTTCATACTAAACTTTGTTTCACAGTACAAAGGTAAAGAAAACGTGAAAGATCCAGGCAAATATTAGCCTCATACTCAAAGTCTGAGGTTATGATCTACCTTGCGGTGCTTGTGCCTCTATCCGCTGCCCTTTACTGCAAGCCACGGCCGCTGCTCTGTCCCGTCTTCCAGACTGTGCAGTATCAGGACGAGTGGCAGAATGTACACAGAGATCGTGGTGTTTCCCATCAACCAGATCCTCCTCAACACCGTGTTCCCGTGACCTCCGTCACAGTCCAGACGGTGACGGCACCAGCCCTGCAGCTGGTAATGATTGAGGTGAAGGTGGTGGAGGTGACTAAGCCCCTGATGGTGATGAACGTCGACACTGTCACCACCATAGAAGCAGCATCGCCTTTAACTTACTTTTAGGACACCTTGAATATATCACAGATTCAATGTATCAATATCACGTGTTCATTGTATAGATATCATAAAAATAAATACTTATACAGAACTTCTTCTTGCTTAACCTATTTTAGATCAATGTTTTGACTAAGAATATAAGAAAAATGGAAAATCGCTGCTTACAGTGATCTGTTGACGAAATAAGGCAAATAGGACACTGGGATTTATTTATCAAAGCATTAGTAATAAAACACCTTGTGTTATTCTTCAGTTATATCCTGCTCTGGTTAGGCCCCATTTACATCATGCAATTTAGTTTTGATTGCCGTGTTATATGTTGGGAATCCTGACACCCAAATTATTAACCCCTGTCACCACAACATAAATTGGTTGTGACCAGAAACTAATTTTACTAACCATTAATTTCAAGTAGGTGAATGTCAAAAGTTTTCTAGAAATCCATAACCGCGCAATTGCGTCAGTTACCACGTGCGATGACTGCTTTTTTTTAACAAATTATTTAACAGTTGTGATTATGAGTTTCAAACGGCGAGGGAAGGGGAATAAAAAGCAAAATTGGTTTCAAACCTCAATACAGGTAAGGAAATAAATAAAAATTATCAATAAATATAATGCATAGTGTAGCTATGCACCTCTAAATTAATTAAGTGCGTCATTTTGTGTTTAAATCCGTGGAAAATAGTGGTTTTAAATCCGCGGAGTTGACGCGCACATTAATATCCAACCATAAGACTAAGCACTCACGTAAATTTATCCATTAATTGTGTGGATTATTATCGTGTTAGGGTCAATAACATATTAATAAATACTCATCAAATACCAGAGTTGAAGAGATTACCCCATACTAATTATATATACATAAACTCAAAATAAGAGTCTTTTATATAAAACCAAACAAAATACATAGCACTATTCCATTACTACTCATTATTATGGTATATAAATTTATTGCCAAACCTTAACTGTAGTTAGGACAATTTTAGGCAGGAGCCCAACTAAATGTTGCTCAATCTAGCCTAATCTATTGATTTGTGCTAAGCCACTAAGGATAGGAATCTCATTTAGTTAGCACTGTACTAAGGAATGTGCACTAGCCAACATTTAATATATTGTGCAGACCCAAAACCGGGTGGGAATTATTAATTACATGAATTGTGTTCAACATATTTACTCTTAAGTTATTTATATTGTGTTTAACCTACAATGTGCCACTGCTGCATCCAAATGTGAAAATGAAGCAGTATTGGGGAAATTTGACAAAAATCGGCGGGAAAATAGACACGGAAAATGAGTCACTATCCAATCAGGACGATCTAAATAGCGTTTTGAAATTGTAAAAAGATTGGCAGATGCAGTTTAATGGTGACATATGTATGGTTTTGAGGCACGGAAATGATGATAGAGTTCCATGATACAAGCTAGATGGTGTTGAGATTGCGAAAAGGATCTGGAAGTTATGATCGGTAAGAAAATAAAATTCATAAATGAATGCATAAATGCTCGTAATAAGGCAAATAGGACACTGGGATTTATTAATCAAATACCAGAGTTGAAGAGATTACCCCATACTAATTATATATACATCACTCAAAATAAGAGTCTTTTATATAAAACCAAACAAAATACATAGCACTATTCCATTACTACTCATTATTATGGTATATAAATTTATTGCCAAACCTTAACTGTAGTTAGGACAATTTTAGGCAGGAGCCCAACTAAATGTTGCTCAATCTAGCCTAATCTATTGATTTGTGCTAAGCCACTAAGGATAGGAATCTCATTTAGTTAGCATTGTACTAAGGAATGTGCACTAGCCAACATTTAATATATTGTGCAGACCCAAAACAGGGTGGGAATTATTAATTACATGAATTGTGTTCAACATATTTACTCTTAAGTTATTTATATTGTGTTTAACCTACAATGTGCCACTGCTGCATCCAAATGTGAAAATGAAGCAGTATTGGGGAAATTTGACAAAAATCGGCGGGAAAATAGACACGGAAAATGAGTCACTATCCAATCAGGACGATCTAAATAGCGTTTTGAAATTGTAAAAAGATTGGCAGATGCAGTTTAATGGTGACATATGTATGGTTTTGAGGCACGGAAATGATGATAGAGTTCCATGATACAAGCTAGATGGTGTTTACTTTGATAAAGCCGCCTTCAAACGCCATAGCAACTTCAAATTCATTTGACGTTTTGGAGGACGAGTGCTGTGGAGAGACTGTGGATCGCGCAAAAGGGAAAGCAACGAAGAGAAAGGAAGCGCAGGCCCCTCAGAAAGTAAAGGAAGTACCTAAGCAAACATTAGTTGTGGGAGATTCCCAGATAAGGTATTTGGATAGAACGTTTTGTGCTAGAGATAGGGGGAACAGGTTAAGGGTTTGCTATCCCGGAGCTGGCATTGGTGATATTATAAACAACATGAATGATATTATGGCTGGTAATGGGAACAATCCCATTATTTGCATTAGCGTGGGAGGAAATGATGTTGGTCGAGTCAGGAGTGAGGAACTGATTCAGAGGTATAAAACAGCCATAGAGTTAGTTAGGAGCAAGGGAGGAATCCCGATCATATGTGGCATTCTTCCAAGAAAGGGAGTGGGAATGAATGGATATCGAGGGCACTTGGTGTCAATTGCCGGCTGGAAAGATATTGCAAATCAAATGCAATATCTTTCATAGACAACTGGGAACACTTCTATGGAAGAAATGAAATGTATGCTCGTGATGGGGTGCATCTATCGAGAGCTGGGGTTGTTGCTGTTGCGAACTCGCTAGAAGAAGTGGTTAGAGGTGTTTGTTTGGGTTTGGACTGTTGGTGGATGGAGGTGTGGTAGTTGATTTGGAGGAGGGAGGTGGTAGGGGTGTGTGTTTGTGGGAGAGGGGAGTTGGCAAAGCGATCGGGGAGGGAGGGGGTCCGCAAAATAGCAGTTCGCTTGGGGTATGTTGCACTGACAGTAGAGGTCTGGGAGGTAGAGTTGACGAATTGAATGCTCTTGTCTGCACGGAGGAAATAGGTGTTGTTGCACTTGCCGAAGCGTGGATGAATGTAGAAGGTGGAGAGCTGTTGGCTGAATGTCAAATGTGTGGATTTGGGCTGTTTCACACAGATAGATGTATTGGGCGAGGAGGTGGAGTGGCCATGTATGTTGGGGACGGTTTGAGGTGTAGTCTCGGAGAGGGAATCGGGGCGGAGCTGCACACGGAGGCTGTTTGGATTGAATTAAACGAAGGAGCTAATGGTATTATAATGGGAGTGGTGTGTGGGCCACCAGATTTGGACGGGGTGGGGGCGGAGCATCTATGGGATGAAGTGTCTGGAGCATCTGGATCTAACAGTGTTTGTGTCATGGGTGACTTTGATTTTGGCGGGATGGGCTGGTTGAACAAGGCAGGGAGTGGTGAAGCAGAAGATTTTCTAGAGTTGGTTGACGATTGCTTTCTTGCGCAACACGTTGGGGAACCGGCGCGGGAGGGTAGTATTTTGGATTTGGTGTTAACTAACAGGGAAACGCAGGTTGGTGGCATCGAGGTAGGGAGTGAGCTGGGGAGCGGTGGTCGCAGGGAGGTCAGATTTGGCATGGAATGGGGTGGACCGGTAGGAGAGGGTTCTGTTGGGGTGCCAGATTTTCGAAAAGCTGATTTTGGTGGCCTGAGAGATTTTTTGGGTCGGATTGATTGGGGGGGCTTGGGTGTGGGGTGTGGGCCGGTCTTGGAGCGAGACGTGGACCCAGCGATGGGTGACTTGAGTGGGGATTTCGATGTGGATTCAATATATGACTTGTTTGGGAATGTTCTAGACAGAGCGCAGGAACGTGGTGTGCCGTGCAAATTGAGTAGATCGTGTGCTGGTGGCCCAAAGTGGATGGCGGGGAGTTTGAGGAACCTTGTGGGTGGAAAGAGAGCTTGGTGCAAAAGGATTGAGGGGTGGGGAGGTCGCTTTGGAGCAGGAATTCGTGCAGCTGGTTGGAAATGTTGGGGGGGAGATGGGGAAGGCGGAAGGAAGCTGTGGGGTTCGCATGGCGGGGCAGGCAAGGACGGGTCCTGGGGGGTTTTTTCAGTTGTATCGTGCTGGGACTAGGGAGAGGATAGGTCCATTGGGGGCTGAGACAGGTCGGGTAACGGATGGTGATGGGGAGATGAGTGGTATTTTTGATGGATGTTTTGTATCTGTATTTACTAAAGAGGAACTTGACAGTGTGCCTTCGGCCGAGCGGGTCTGTGTGGGTGGGGACGGGGACAGGTTGGCGAGTTTGGCAGTTGCCAGGGAGGGTGTTCTTGAACAGGTAGTGGGGCTCAGACCAAGCAAGTCCCCGGGGCCGGATGAGGTGTTTGCTAGGGTGCTTGAGGAATGCAGGGGGGAGCTTTGTGACCCACTGTCAACCATGTTTGATAGATCAATGGAGTCAGGCGGAGTGCCGGAGTTTTGGAGGGTTGCTGGTGTGATACCGGTTTTTGGGAAAGGAGATGGATCACTTGCGTCTGACTGTCGACCGGTTGGCCTGGCGTCTATTGTGGGAGAGTTGCTCGAATCTATAATAGCAAATGGGGTTCGTCTTCATCTTGAAAAACATAAATTA